GACGTTGAAATGTCTAGAACCTTTCTTTTCCTTTCAGAAAAATATCTCAAACTCGTTGAGACTGACAGGAGTTTTCACAGAGGACAGATTTCAGGAGTTTATTGGGACAGAAGCCACAAAAAACAATAGTAGTAAAAATTCACTGACTGTTTACTGAGCGGGTTGGATTTCTTATATATTCCATTCAACATTTATTAAAATCTTGTTCATTTGCAAGGCAGAGGCATAAACTGTGCCCGAAGAAGACTTAACGATTAGCGTTTTGTTCGGGACCTTTTCTGTCCCTGAATTTCAACTGTAATTGTTCGGTGGATGTGATCCTGCATTTCAGTCACATCAGCCCCCCTTTTTTTATTCATTATGTATCTTTTAATGAATTAACTGTAATTCTTCCAGGTCTTGAGCCCTGGGATGTTTAATGGCTTTTGACACAAAGAAAAACTGTTGAGAGACTTTTTTAATCGGTAAATTCCTCCTCAGGGGTTGGATGTCTCACTTTTCTTCGTGTGAGACACGCAAGGAGCCTCAGTCAGAAAGTGGGTTTCTCCTGCCGGGGTGTTTCAGCAGAACCGGTGAATAATGCAGCAGAATTTTGCAAGGACATGACAGAAAAGCCACCGCTTTACCTCCCCAGCCCGCGGGCACTGCTTTTGCTGGGCTCCCAGCAGGTTTTGAGTGATGTACGCACAAAGGAAGAGGAGAGAATGAACAGAAAGTAGTTTATGGTTTTCCTCAAAGGCACTTTTCTAACTCAAAAATATAAGCCTTGTGGTTTATACGGTTTTGAAATGTAACCACAGATATTGAGAACTGGAAAACATTTGATTTACCATCTCCTCCAGTTTTGGTACCGGATTCAGAGCAGAGGAAATGCCCGTTTTCGGAATGAAAAATGTTGAAAGGAAAGACATTAATGTCAAGGTTTTTAGAACAGGAACGTGCTATTTGGAGAAACCGTCAGATGAAGAAATCAAGGTAATCTGCGTCTTGATGGAGCGGGTGCAGATACATCTATCTGAGATCCACCAAAGTCCTATAACCTTGTTTTGGTGAAGCTTTGCAAGGTGTTTTATGCTCTGCAGCATCCTTTTAGGACCTGTGAAGGATCAATGTCAGACTGAGCACTTTTCCGTCGAGCCTGATCTAGGACTGGAACGGGATCAGCTGCCTGGGGCACATCCCTGGGGACATGGGGGAGAGAATCAGAAGGGTAAAAGTATGAAAACTCGTGAGATGAGCAGGTAAAGCGAAAGCTGCGCAACAAACAAAGCAAAAGAAGGAATCCTTCACCACGTCCCTTTGGCAGGTGGGACCTCAGCCACCTCCAGCAAAGCAGGGCTCCCGCACACACAACAGTGACTCGGGGAGTCAAAGAGCATAACATCAAATATCTCGCCTTCCTTCTTCTGCCCCCAGCTCAGCTTTCTGTGTAGAGCACGACACCCTGTGGCACGGGACATCCCGTGGGCCGGTTGGGGTCCCCTCCCAGCTCCTTGTGCCCCCGCAGCTGGCGGGCTGGGCTGAGGAGCTGAAAAGGCTTTGGCTGTGTCAGCCCGGCTCAGCAGGAGCTAACACAGCCCTGAGTTATCAACACGGTTTCCAGCACAAATCCAAACCGCAGCCCCACACCAGCTTCCGAGAGGAAAGTTAGCTCTGCACCAGCCGAACCCAGCCCGCGTAGGAAGGCGCCTTTCTGGTCTCCCTGAGCTGTCCTTGCTTTTGCAGCGCTGCTTCTTTACTTTAAAGGGTTGGGCTAGATGATCCCTGAGGTCCCCTCCAACCTGATATTCTGTGATTCTCTGTCACTGGTTTGATACGTGTGTCTGCTTGCTCCTCCTGCAGTGCCTGGAGGTCACTCCAGAATTTTCCCACTCCTGTTCTCTGAGCCCAGATGCGCTTGTGGTTCCATCGTGACCGTTTGGGTTTCTGTCGCTTTGCTTTGTTCTTCCTGCACTTGTGTTTCTGCCTCTCTCCCTTTTGTGTTGAGCAGTCGTCTGGTCTCCAGATTTGTTCTGGAAAGCTTATGAGGCTCCTTGTAAGGGCCTGTCCTTTGTTCTCCGATATCCTGCCATTAGTTTCCTGCTGCTTCTGTGGTTCCTTCTCAGATGTGGATGAGCAGGAGCCTACCTGGTATCTCAAAGGGAACATGACAGTACTGTTACTGCCTCAAGATCCCCGCCAAAACTCTTTAGAGGTGCCCAGGAGAGCCATGAGGAGGCCAGTCCCCCAAAGAAGTCCTGCAGGAGAGAGCACAAATGAGTCGTTCATTTCTTTCAGGAGCTAAAATGGTACAGACCTTCCCACTTACACCTGCTATCCTGGCTGGAGGGACCCACCGTGAACTGCAGCGTCTTTCCACTCCCGTGGGACTGGGTGGAAGCGTACGTTGCTTTGTCATCTCATTTATGCGTGGCTCTAGCAGCGACTGCTTGTTGGGCGTCTCCTTATGTTTAACCTGTCCTGAGATCCTTCCAAGGCTTTAGCAGACCGGGAAGGGAAGCGCACTGCTCTGACCCCAGCGTACCCCGGTTAGCATCGCCATGTGTTCTCTCCTCGTTCTGGAGAAGCGAGTGGGAATTGCCTCTTTCTTAACGCACAGACTGAACGGAGGGCAAGACCCTTGGGTCGGGTCAGGCCAGAAGATAGGTGGTTGCTGACCTTCTCCTACCCCGCTGGTTGGGTGCTGGCCAGGCTGCCCGGGCTTGGCAGCACCCCGAAACATCCCATGGAAACAACTACGTTATGGCTGCAGTCGCTCCCAGGGCTCGGGGAGGGGAGGGTTGTTTCCTACCTACCCCTGCTCGCACGGTGGCCCGCTGGCAACACACTTAAAATTGGCAGGAGAGGCGATTCTCATGCGTGTATGTGTTGAAAAGAAACGGGGTGATCGGGTTGCAGTTAGAGGGAGGTAAGGTAGGAAAAAGTCACGTAAGAGGAGGGCTCGTTTTGTTGATGGAGGTTTAGGAAGCTTTTCAACACGTTGAGTTATTGGCTGTATCTGAGGTGAAACACTGCTCCCCTAACTGCTCTCATTTCCTCTATCATGCCGGCTTGTTCGCTGCATTAATTGCAGTTCAGATTTACAATGTATTTGGTTACACGCTGGGTTGCATTCTAATTTTTTTTTCCTCCGTGTGTATAAATTTCTTCGGGAGTCACGCCAAGAGGAGAGTGTGTATATGCACACACACATGGGCTGAATTTGCCTGTTGGTTGCTAATTTTGTGGGGATCTGGATTTTCTTCTGTGTTGTTGTAAAATGAGACTTCTTTTTCCAAAGGAGAGGCAGTAGCTGAGAACAGCCCGTGTTTGGAGAGTTCCAAGATTTCAGAACAGCCAGAGATGAGAGAAAATATTATCTTATGAATTGTAAATGTGGCATTTTTAATTTGGCTGGTGTTTCCTAGAGGTTGGTGGGTAATGGAAATGCTGTCGTTCTCTTGGCTCAACTGGAAGTCGGCTTGTTACTTAAAATATTTTATAAAACAAATGCTTCAGAGTTTAGCTGGATGAGGTAGAGCTTTTCACAGCTGAAGTAGCTTTTTGTGACTTGAAATATGAAGTGAGATGGGATGCTAAGCAAGAAATCTAGCATTTGGAAATGAGCTGTTTAGGAGCTGTAGAATGCAGAAGGTGATTGAAAGGATGTTTCCTGTTTAGTTTAACATATTTCTTTTGGCTTTATGAAAGCTTGAGAGGAGGTGCACTAAATGTAGGAGAGTGGTTCTGGAGAACTCATTCAGAGTTTTAGATTCATTCTTCACGTTGCAGTTGTTGATGCGGTAGAAGATTTTCATTCAGAATATTCTGAGTCATGGTTTCGTAAGTAAATGATTACATATTAAGTAGAACCAGATATCAAAAATGTTACTGTGTTTAAAATGTCATATTCCTAAACATTGAATTGAGAAATACTGGTGTGATGAATAATACTGGTATGATGAATAATAATAGATACAAAATAAGAGCTGAATGCAAGTTGTCAAATAACTGAGTTAAATGTAAAAGAGAAGAAATCCAGATGACCTTCTTTTGAAATAATTGATCTCCTTTTTGTGTTTTTTTTTAGCTTTGCCACTAATCACAGCAGCACATCACCTTTCCTCCCAACTTGCTCAGCTCATGTCGGAGCCAGCTCACTCCCAGTCCCTCCTGGCTGGGCTCCCCAGCACACCCCGACCAGCTGCAGGGAATGGTTTGGGTTGGAAGGGACCATAAAGCTCATCTTGTTCCAACCCCTCGCCATGGGCAGGGCCACCTCCCGCCAGGCCAGGTTGCTCCAAGCCCCGTCCAGCCCAGCCTGGGACACTGCCAGGGACGGGGCATCCACAGCTTCCCTGGGCAACCCGTGCCAGGGTCCCAGCACTCTCGTGGTGAAGAACTTTTTCCTCATGTCTGATCTTCATTTCCTCTGCTCCAGTTTAAACCCACTGCCCCTCGTCCTGTTGCCACACACCTTTGTAAACAGTCCCAAGAGACTGATGTGCCCAGAAATTCACCCCGTTGCCTCTTCCATCCGCAGGCTGCAGTAAGGTTAACACTTCTGAGACATCGCGTGAAAAACCAGTGTGTTGATAATCCTTTCCGGCCCAGGCGAGGTGCTTGCTCTTCTAGGCCTGGTTTAGTATGAGAAAGGGGGAGCGGAGGGGAGACCAGTGGGGACATATCTGATGCACAGCAGCAGCACGATTTAGTTGTAAATGCACCAATACAGCTTTTCAGTCCTGGAACCCGTGTGGGTGTTTAGTTAACGCCATGCATGGATGATGTCTGTTATTTTGTCAGGGTTTCAGAGTGAGGGGTTTTAGCACTTTAATCCTGACTGACAGTTGGAAGGTTGGTGGTTTCAAACACAGCGGCATGGAGTAGCTGATTTCTCTTCGGTGAAACAATGCACCAGTGTGTCTGGGCTGCCTGTACAGAGCCAATAAATCTGTTTTGTTTGGGGTTTTTTCTCCCCCCTTTTCTCACTCTCTCTCTCTCTCTTCCCCCTCCTCCAGGCCAGGACCTGCTCCTATTGCTGAAAACCCTTCAGCCTCTCTGGACAAAGAGAGAGATGAAGAAGGTAAGGCTGAGCCTCCCCTCCGTGCTGCGGTTAATAAGTGCATGCAGAGCATGTCCAGACGCAGAACGCTTAGGTCAGACCTGCAATTCTTCACGAGTGCTTTCAGTTCCAGCACACAGGGGAAGAGCCTGTGCATTTGTAGCAAGAAGTGAAAAGAAAAGGTAGCTCTGTGTGATGCGAAGCAGCTCAGGGGCTCCTATAAAAGAGCTCAAGTTTACAGAGCTGAGTTACAGAAAGGGGGGGGAAAAAAAAAGCAAAGTTGCTTTTGTTTTCTTTTAAACACTTTTTTTGTCCATTAAATGGAGGAGCTGTGGGGGAGGGGTAAGAGTGTTTCGAGTAGCTGGGAAAAGGAGGGTTAAAGTCAGTAGAAAAGTGCTCTTTGCCAAGTAGAATGATATCAAAGCCTTCATAGTCAAAGTATTTTTTTTACTGTTTTTTTCTGATTTGGTTTGGTTTTGCCTTTTAGAGTGGAGAATGCAATTTACACTGCCTGTCTAAAATTAGTGCTGTATTTTTATACAGCACCCTATGGGCTCCACGTGGAGATTTCTCATAGGGAGTAAAATATCCTTCATCTAAATTTGGGAGCTTGAAAACTAACAAAAACACTGGATGCATCAGCTTAGTGCTGAGTTTCCCATGTTTAGCTCTGCCTTGTTCAGGCGGGTTCATAGCAGAGATTTATTTTTCTTTTCTTCTAAAAGACACAAAAACCTGCAGCTCCCCACGGGGAATGTGTCCTGTGTGAAGCGGCCGGTGTGGCTGAGTACCTCGGTGTGTACGTGCTCCATCCGAGGTGTCTGGAGTGTTTAGTCCGTGTCCTTGTGTGCCACACTTGGACTTTCCATTACTGATAGTCTGTGGTTCCCAGCCGGAATAATTTGACAACTGGAAACCAGTGTGAGAGGTGCCTTTCAGTCACCGACATAGACTTGAGCTCAGCAACTCTGAAGCCTTGAGCTTCCTATCAAGTTTTGTTAGAGTTGGAGGAAAAAAAATATTATTTTTTAGGTCTCGAGGGCAGTTAGTCCCACAAAGCAACAGTAGGAGAGAGTAATCATCAAAATCTCTGTCCTGTGTACCCTGGGATGTGTGTGGATTGGGAAGAAAAATATTCTGCAAAGGACAAAGCCTCCCATTGACGTGTCCTTGGACAGAGAGCACCGCGGCAAGGTGGAAAAGCTTGAGGATCCCCGTGAGTCACGCTTGCAGCTCCGCTGATTCAGTGGGTTTCAGGGTGATCCCCGTGGGACGTGTGGTTTCGCAGAGCGTGCCCGCTGCAGCTCCCTGGCGGGGAGCAGGACTGTCCCCCTCTGCCCACCCTTCAGGTGGCGCCGCACAGCCGCGGGCACAAGTAGGGTTTTAGACCTGGAGGATGCGTTTCTGAACCACGGGGAAAGACTTTGGAGAGAGAGGAGGTTGTGGCGAGGTGGACGTCAGGCTCTTCGGTATAACAAGTGATAGGACAAGAGGAACTGGCCTCCAGTTGCACCAGGGGAGGTTAGATTGGGTATCAGGAAAAACGTCTGCACTGAAAGCGTTGTCAAGCACTGGAAGAGGCAGTGGTGGAGCCCCCATCCCTGGAGGGATTTAAAACCCAAGCTGATGTGGTGCTCAGGGACGTGGGTTAGTGGTGGCACTGGCATCACTACATTAACAGGCTGACTCCACGGTCTTAAAGGTCTTTTCCAACCTAAAGAGTTCTATGAGATGAAGAGGGCCATAGTAGGACCAGACAGTGGCACAGCAGCTGCCACTAGAGTGGGGAGCACAGCACGAACGTCCCCAAAGTTTTGTGACATGTGCTCATCATGACACTTGCTCGTCACACTGTCACGGAGATGGGGTAATCCGTGCTTGGGACGTCGTCACCTTCGTACACGCGGTGCACCGGCAGCAAGGGGAGATGCCGGTTTCAGGGGCAGCTCCTGCCCTGCCCTCTGTGTGCAACTCGGGCGAGCTCCTTTGCCTTTCCCTTGTGGGAATGTCAGTCAGTACTGGCTCTGAGCTGGTGTGAACTGGCCCGTTGGTCCCAAATCGGTGACCAGGAGCAGAAGGAGGGTATCTGTCCATAGCGTGACCTCAGTTCTGGGACACTTTTATAGAGAGCAGTCCTTTCCTATGTAGGAAAGACAGTTTTGGAATAACCAAGGAGAATCAGCAGACTGCCCTGAGCTGTGTAACTAGAAATAAAGGACCAAAGCTGAATGAAGGAGTATGTAGTTTGAGCATCAGCGAAATTTTCCTATTCCCATGATCTGTCAGGCTGCAGAAATCCCCCGAGGAGCATTCCCTGCCATGGGAATCAATTGAGATGGAAATGGCAATTACATGTTGGAGAGGAATCCTTCTCTGGCAGAGCAGCGAGCCAGGCAGCACAGCACTCTTTACTCTCTGATTTAGGTGTCTCGTGCCTTTTTGGTTGGTTGGTTGATTGGTTTTCCCCCTTCGAACTACACAGTAGGTGAAGTCTTCAGATTGCTAGGAAGTTTTGAAGATGCTTTTTGCCCTTGCTTATCAAAGTCTAGCGGGTACAAAGTCAAGACTCAATCCAGATGACCACAGTTGGCGCTCCTGGCCCTGGCTCAGTGTTCGGAGACACTGCGTGTGAGCGCAGGTTTGTGCTCTCGCAGGACCCGGTGTCTGCTGGAGCCCGTCCTGCTAAAGTCAAACTCCAGCCCAAGGAAAGCTCTTGTTCAGTCTAAATGTGCTGAAGCAGGGCTTGGGGGAGTGGGGGGAAGAGAAGAGAGGCCGCTTACAAACAGTGCAGTTTAGTTGGCGGGTTGCTTTGTTTTCCTTTGGCTGTTGTGTTGGATGTTCGTGGTTGGGGAAGAGCTTGCCTTTTCCTTCTGCTGAAGCTCACAGTGGAGTTGGAGCCCTGTGTTTAACATCACAAATTCTTGCCACCAGGAAAAATACTTAGAGGGAGAAATCTGTTATCTGGAGTCCCATCTTTGTTAGTCATCAGCTTTTTTCATGCCGCGTTTGATAATCTAGCGAGAAAGAAACAGTTTCTGTCGTAAACGATAGCTTTTGTGGTTTTTCCAGACATGAAAGACACTCTCGAAAAGAACTGTCTTCCAGTAAATATTGCCCCTGAATAAAATAGAACAAATTCATTGGCGAATTTTCCATAGATTTTCTTTTGTTTTTTTATGTCGTTCTTCAAACTTTATGTTGTTTCCATTGGAAGCTGTGACTGGGGCTGTAGGATACAGTAAATTACAAGTGCTGGCTGCAGGCGGGTCCGAGCGTCGTTTGGATTTCGTTTTTTAGCCAGAAAAGAAAGAGAGCAGCTGCTCTTAGTGATTTCTTGTTTTCTGTCTCTGCTTTTGCCTTGCTCCATGCCAGTACGTGTACCATGCGGTGAAAGGTCCTGTGTGGGTACTGGAGGATGCCACTTCTTCACCCTGCCAACCCTCCGAGCTCCTTGGAAACTACTTCTAATGTAAACATTATAAAGATATTGCTCGGTGCTGCTAATTTATCACTTCTACCAGATGGGTAGTAAGTAGCCTATTAACATTCACAAAGTGAGCGTCCAATTCCTCCACATTTCTCAACACATCGCCCTGGGATTCCTAAGATTTATGGCGTGGAGCTTTCCCATGTTCCGAGCCCCTCTCGACACGCGGAGGTGTGCGGTGCCTGCCGTGCCGGGGCAGTGGGTGTCACCATGAAACACCTTGCTCGGTCGGGTAGGTTTGGAGGAGAGGAGAGATTTGAAGGATGGCAATCTGACAGCAGTTGGTCATTCTTTCTTGTAAGTCTCAAGTCTAAAAGCCAAGCTATTTCAATGCTCCCAAATATTCCTGTCCCAGTGAGGAGCGTTACGCCTGTCGGGGCTGAAGTGGGTGTGAGGGTAGAGGTGAAACTTTGTGGTATGAGAATGAGGAGGAGGAGTTTATGTGCTTTGTTACTCGTAGGTCTGTTAGAAGATGAGTAGGTTTTTGAGCCCAGTTATCTACCTTCAGTAATGCCATTTTCCTAATAACACGCCTTTCTCCAGCTCACTTCTTCTCTCCCCCTCCCCCAAATCCCAAGCCCCTTTGTCTGCCCCACAGAACAACTTCTCTGTCTTTATGGGATAATTAGTGTGGACAATTGCTGCTTTTCCCATTGGGTTTGAGGTGCAGTGAGCCATGAAGGAATCTGTAATGACATGAAAAGTCACTGGAGGCGCGGATGGTGGCTGAATAGCAACAGTTACCTCTCTGAATAGATTAAATTAAAAAAAATAAAGCTTTGTGTTCAGCTGGGGGAAGGGAGGATTCACTAATCTTTTTGTACATGACAATGTGGTTTTGTATCTCGGCAGCTCAAGGAAGAAATCAGGCGGGGCTTTGCAGGCCTGGAGGACCCCTTGGCAGGACTCCTGGACATGCTGGAGAGCAGCAGCGATTGGAAGGCGAAAGGGCATTCCCTCGTGTATTACATCACCACCGAGCTGCAGCTTTGGATCAAAGAGCATCCTGCTGTTCAACAGGTTAGAAAAAGAGAGAGCGAGAGAGCCGGGAGAAAGGAGAGGGCAATTGGTTTTAATGTCCCTCGAGTGTCCCCAATTTCACTTTGTGCCCTGGTCCGGCGTCTTCTCTGTGGTGTCGTACAAACACGGTGTGACGAGCTGTGAAATTCGCACTGCGATGATATTATCTGTTGTGTGCGGGCCTGAAAGCGAAATGATATTAGAAGCTGTGATACAAGAAGCTGTTTCCCCTTCCAGGCTGGGATTTCCATCTTCCCAGATCAAACCGCTTTGATCAAGCGTTGATCTCGCAGCCTTTGCTGGACTGGAGGTTTTCCCACTGGAACCCACAGCCCTGCTGTCGGGATAAGCCCAACTGCGCTGATCTGCTCAGCGTATTCTTCCAGTGCTGCAAATAGAAGCCAGTTACTGTACAATTGCTTAACTGCTGGCATATGGCAGGGAGCTTTTATCATCGGGAATGCAGAAAATGGCAACAGTATGACTTTTCAGCGGCTGAATGATTAGCTTTGTAACATTGGGTCATCAGATTATACATCTTAATGTTTACCATTCCTTCTGCCTTCATATATTCTGACCTTTTTTAGTGTGCTTTTACCTCTGAACTGGAAGATGCTTTGATATTTGTGTTGTTTCCTTTCCCATTTTTCCAAATGGTTCTTTTTAGCTGCTGAGCTCTGCTGTTACCCTATCTGCAAAGTGCGGTGAAGTGCTGCTGGCACTGAAATTCCTGTGTCATAAGAGACTGATCGTGTAGGAACACAAGGATTAATGCTCATGTCCGTGTGTCTTTGGATGATGCTTTTGCTTTTCTTGCCCTTCTTGCACCCGGGAGCAAGCCTGGGAATGAAAATTGAATTCTTATGCCTGATAGGTGAGATCTCCCTTGAGGGGAGTTGCTGGATTCCAAGATTTTCTGCTGGGAACTGGAGGGGAGAATTTCTGAATAGCTGTGCTAGTAGAAGAGTGCGTTTTTCCAGTTTCGTATTTTACTTCTGCACAAGGCCATATGCCTTTTCCAGAATTATCCCGCAAACATTTCATGTTTTCAAATTGGATGCTGTGAAAAAAATGTGTATCATATTGTTCTGATTTCTGCTCGCAGACACCGTGGGGAAACTGGAGAATCCCTTCCCAAGGAATTGGCTTATTCCACTGCTTAAACAAGCTGCATTTTCAACTGCCGTTGAATTGTAGCCATCTTTACTAAATCTGCGTTTGATTTTTTTTTTTTAATTTTTTTTTTCCCTCCCCTAGTCTGGCATCAAGCTGAAGAAGCTGCAGGCCCGTGTACTCAGAATCCTAGCCCAGTGCCCGGCTAATCTTCTTGACCCTCTCATTAGCATTTACCAGCTCCATACAGCAGACCGGAACTATTTGCTTGAACATGTCAGTCATCTTTATCACAAGGGTGATTACAAAGAGGTGGGTCATGTCTTTCAAATAAATTTACCTACCCGGCTCTCTAGTCCTCTGTTAATGTCTGTGTCCTTTTTTTTTTTGGATGCATTTCAATGTGAATTCCGTTTCATCGCGGCAGCTGCACGCTGTGAATGGCTCAGCTTAGCGTGGCCGTCCTGTGTACACGAGCAGGCTGCGCTCAACCGCGTTTTTCCTAATGCCTGACTACAGAACGCCAGGGAATCCTTCCTCCGCCCCTTTTTTGACCTTGGAAAGTAATAGGTTAATAGGGTTTAATTTGGAGAATTTCGGGGGATGGATGTGTTCTTTTTTGTTTCCCTTGTCCTTGGCAAGAAAAGAAGGGATTTTAGGAGTTGCTTGTAGACTTGCTGTGTTATCTCCAATCTGCCTGCAGCGAGGAGGGCTTGGAAAATCTCCCTCTTCCCACGTGGTCACCCTGGCCCAAGGGTTTGAGGACTTTCAAAGCCTCTTTACCGTTGAGGCTTATATTCCAAATGTGCTGCTGCTCGTGTCTTTGAGTTTGAGTGGCTGTTGCTGGCAGGAGTTCACCGAACCCAGAATTTGGTGTTTTACCCCGTGGTTTGCAGTCCTTGCAGCATCTCTGGCATCACCGTGGTGTCTTGGTAGCCTTGTGAGTCTTCTCATGAGCAAACTACAGTACTGTTAATGCGCTGCTTTTTCTTTCTTTTTTGTTTTAAGACAAAATACGTAGGTTTTTCTGAAAGAAAACATCTGAAAGATGTTTTGCTGTGATGGTGTACAACAGCTTGATCTTGTTTAGCAAAAGAAAAAAAATCAAAAAGCATTTTTAAGCTCCTGTTCTTCAGTAAAGCTGAATTCCCGAGTGAGGTCTGGGAATTTCCTACTTGTTGATTTCTTTGACTACTGAAACAAGGATATTTCGTGTTTGATTCGCAGTTCATAGGTACCTGCTTGAAACTTGCTCTTTTGCTCATGAAGTTTTTGAATGTGAATATTCAAAAATCCTAACAGGAATGTAGTGTTGGGCTATATTCAAGTGTGATATTTAAGTTCATGGCTCCAAAGATATTTATTGTTTTCATTAGAAATGCAGTTCTTTCTTGATCTGGTTTTGGAAAGCTCTAAATGTTTTTTTGGTGGAATTGTTTTTCTGTTCCTTCTTGCACAAAAAAAGCTCGTTTACTAGTCATTCCCAGTGTGAAGAACAGGAAACCTCAACTGTTGCTTGCCCTCAGCCATAACTTTCTTCTAGTTTTGTTCTGCTGCCAGAAGGGCGAATAGAATTATCTTCAAGAATAACAGGAAATCTTTTACTGCCCTTGGGGACTGTTCATACCTAAGTTCACAGCAACTAACCCCAAAAAACCTGGAACTCGGGCTCTGAGCACTTGCAGTGGGCTGTGGCGTGTTCCTCCTCTCTTCCCGTCTTTCTGATGGGGCAGGAAAGCGGAGCCACATGGGGACGTTTTGGCTCTCCTGGAAGGACAGAAATCCGTCTAAATCCTCGCTGTCGTTATTTATTTTCTGGCTGCATTTACAGTAGGACACCCAAGCGTTGATTGTGGAGCGTTGATCGTGCTGTGCGAACCGCGGAGGTCCCCCGCTCTGCCCCGTGTCGCTCACGGAGGTTTTGGAGAAAGGTCTCTTCAGAAAACGAGATCCCAGAGATCCCTGGGAATGGGCACGGCCGTTATTTGTTTCAGAAGAAACCTGAAAAACCTTGGTCAGAGCCTGAAGCAGCTTGTGGCTCCACAGTGGCCGGGTGGCCGCCCGGCAGGGCAGGGTGCGGGCAACAGGAAAACCATCGGTGCGTGCCGGGGGGGTTGGCAGGAGGTGGCACAAGGCGGAGGAAAATCGATTCCGATTTAGCAACATGAAATAGCGACGGT